GATTGTCTCTGATGATGGGGAGCTTTCTGTTCATAAAACTGGATACAGTTAATGTTTCTGCTATTTCTGTTTCTACTGAAATTCAAAGCAATTGGGAAGGATGAAAGAAGTGTAAAAAATTTGTAACTGTTTAACAGTTCACCGTTGTCTAGAGCTCTCTCTCTCTCTCTCTCTCTCTCTCTCTCTCTCTCTATCTATATATATATATATATATATATCTCACTTCAGGTGCGGTCCTTAGAGGGGAATATAGACAAAAGATTTGACAACTCGATCATGTTAGCTTCCAGTTTAAGCTGCTTTTTTGCGAAGCATTGAAAGTGGAGTGTAGGGAGCCTCAGGTGGAGTGTTGGGAGCCTCAGGTTTTGAATCCACAAGAATACAAGAAAAAAAAATAAGATTTGTAGCCTTATAAGTTATAAACATGTCAAGGAAGAGGAAGTATTTGGAAAGCACTTTTCCTGCGCATGCGTGGAGAAATGTGCTTTTGCACTGCAGTCTGCGGACCAATTTGTTTGTAATAGGCCAGCAAGACACATCCATTTTCCTTGCAGAGAAGGTTGGAAGGAACGACAAGCCACTGCTACATCCATTTCAACGACAAGCCACTGCTACATCCATTTCGTCAAGAACTGATGATCTTTTAACGGTAACAAAATGTTAGATGCAGACTTAAAAAGAGTTATTGCGTATTGAAATTGAATATTCAGCACATATTTAATCATTAAATTCAGTAACGTATGTCATACATTAAATTTAGTTTTGTATATTATACACTAAGGTATGGAGTTTTTATGGCTAGTGTGACTATGCATCAATGTATAGTATGCAATGCCTTCTAACTTTTAAGTGCTTTAGAAGTAATTTTTTATTTTTTCAGTGCACATTCAGTTGTTAAATTCAATAGGATATGGGGTGCTTACTTTCCCACGCTTTTTGGTTCACAATCACAATCATGATCCTCAACGTCTGTGCTTGAATTAGAATGAGGATCCGGGGATCCTTCAATCATATTCGTTCATCGTATATCGTGCGGTCAGAAATTATTATAAATTTTTTTATTTAAAATTAAATATAAACATTACCTAATTAAAACTGGCCGCATGATGTACGATAAACGGATGTGATTGGAATATCCCCGGATCCTCATTCCTTGAATTATATACCTAACTTAATAAAATGAGTAAATTGTAGCATTGGTTCATTAACTTTAACTCAATTAGAGCAATGGTCTCTCAACTAAAAATCCATTATCATTGGTCCCTCAACTCATCAAAACCTACAGCTACGATCCCTCAACTAAAAATTCATTACCATTGATCCCTCAACTTTAACCTAATTAAAGCAATGATCCATCAACTTTAACCTAATTGAAGCAATGGTCCCTCAACTTTAACTCAATTGTAGCAATGGTCATTCCAAGATAACTCGTTTTGAAAAAATCTGATGAAGTTGACAAAAATGACCATAGCTACACGTTTTGATGAGTTGAGGGACCCCAATTGTAGCAATGGTCATTCCAACATAACTTATTTTGATAAAATTTTAATGAAGTTGACGAAAATGATCATAACTACATATTTTGATGAGCTGAGGGACCAATTGTAATGAATTTTTAGTTGAAGAACCATTGTTCCAATTTGATTAAAGATAAATGATCATTGCTACAATTTACTTTAATAAAAGAGATGAAGATGGTTACGTTTTCCAATTAGAAGTAAACACTTGATCCGATTACCTCTCAGTGTTTGTGCGGTGTGTTGTGTTTGATTGATGTTGTCCTCTCTCACATTCATGGCCCTGAGGCCCTCAAGCATGTTCTCCTTCTTGAATTTACATCTGCACATGTGCGTCTTTCTAATGGATAATGTTTAGGAAGACTAAATTTGTAGACAAATTTTGAAAACTAAAGGACATGAAAGTTGATTGATTTATTACTTAAACATTAATAAATGTGTTCATTCTTATTGGTGATACATTATTTAGTTTGCAAATTTTATCTTCAAATTTAATCTCCATAACATTACCCCTTTCTAATACAATTCGTATGTCATAGAGTTTATACATTTTTCATATCTGTCTCTCTTCTCGTAAAATTGTGTACATTTTTGACGTGCAAATATCTCTCGTTTAATTTTAGTACTTTACGTTTCTTACAATATGACGAGGTTTATTGTTCCTACCTCTCACCTCACAAGGTTACAGACATTTAAGTTAAAGGCCAGAGAGACTACTTCTAGATCACTCATTCATAAACCGGTTAGTGGTACAAATAACATAAAGAAATGTGACCAACGTTTGTCGGAAGAAGCAACCCCAAAGACAGTATTTACGCCTTGACATGCAAGTTTCTCTCACTTAGCTCTCCTCTTCTCGTGGCACGTCAAGACAATTGGAATGTTTAAGAAAGCTTCCGAACAAACAACATCACCACTGAGATCTACTGGTACAAAGTAGAAACCCTAGTGTCAGTAGTAGACCCTCTCCCTCATATTATTGTTCATTTGGGATGAGATCTAGTACTGAAATAAATCATAAAATATTTGGCCCAGGCACTTGAAATAGAAGGGCAAGAAATGGGGCAGTGTATTTATAAGCAAGTTATTGCAGATTTTGATGCTTATCCAATTATGCCTCTAGTTTTTAATGAGGGTATGAATGTTTCATGGTGAGGATTATGTCATTTTTGGAAGACATTCCTTCCTTTAAAATTGAAAGATCGACATTAAAAAGTATATAGCTGGAGAGAATGGAAAATTATAGTAAGAGAAGACTAAATTGAGTGAATTATTTGATTTGGAGGTTGTATTCAGGAACACGTGGGAACCTTTCTGGCTTCAGGCCACTCTTCATGGTTGAACTTATTTTTTTAACTTACGAATCTTTCTAGCCCTAACGTCACAACTAAAAATTTAGGAGAGAAATTCTGAAGTTCGGTACTCGGATTACGTATATGTGCAGACAAAGATACAATATCTCCCCTTATGGCCTACCACCGCTTGCCTTGAAACCCACCACTATCCTATATAATGACCTCACCCCACTCCCACAACCCCCATTGCCCACCACGTATGGGTGTTGCACCCAAGACCTTCTCCCATGAGGGACCTAATGTAAATCACTTTATGTGTGATTATTGAGGGATTTAAATTGACGATTAATAAGGATCTTACTCGTTACATAAATTTTTATTTTTCGACATATATGACTGGTTTAATGGTTTTCAAAAGTGAATGAATTTTCTAGATATGATATGTAGATGATAATAAGGAAACTAAAGATTGTAATTATCATATTTTAAAGATGAAATGATATCACATCATTATTGAATGAGGAATGATTCGATGAACTAATGTCACATCATCATTAACGAAGGAATAACCCAGAGCATGGCTTGCCTGAACCAAATGTTGTCTAAATTATATAATATTTGCTCCTATTACCAATGTAAATAGTCTGTTCATATTGACAATCATTATAAAGACCAGATGCATGCTTCATACCCGGATTACTTATTACAAGTGGGAAGCAAATCCATCCCAGTGTGGGGTCTGATTGAGTTTTGATTGTCTCTGATGATGGACAGCTTTCTGTTCATAGAACTGGATACAATGTTTCTGCTATTTCTGTTTCTACTGAAGTTCAAAGCAATTGTGAAGGAGGAAAAGTGTAAAAGATTTGTAACCGCTTAACAGTTTACCTTTGTTTAGATATAGGGAACTAATAAACACACACCTTTTATAGCTTTCTACACACTTCTGGCTAATCATGTATGTTATTTTCGTTTGATTTATTCAATCCGATGACCAGGAACAAAGAGGGGTGTGAGAAAAGCTATAAAAGATGTGTGAAAATCAGCTCCCTAGATATATTTATATGTGTGTGTGTCACTTCAGGTGTGGTCGTTAAAGGGGAATAAAGATTTGACAACTCGGTCATGTTAGCTTCCCGTTTAAGCTGCTTTTTTGTGAAGCACTGAAATTGGAGTATTGGGAGCCTCGGTTTTGAATCCACGAGAATACAAGAAAACAGAAAGATAGATCTGTAGCCTTCTAAGCATGTCATGGAAGAGGAAGCTTTTGAAAAGTAGCTTTCCTGTGGTTGCGTGTAATAGGCCAGCAACATACACCAAAATCTTTGCATTTTCCTTGCAGAAAAGGTTGGAAGGAACTAGTAAGAAAACTAGTTAGATATAGACATAAAAAGAATTATTGCGTATTGAAATTGGATACTCAAGCATATTTAGTCATTAAATTCAATAATATATGTCTTACATTAAATTTAGTTTTGTATGTCGTACACTAGGTATTGTGGAGTTTATTATGGCAAGTGTGACAATGTATGGTATGCATTGCCTTCTAACTTTTAAGTGATTTAGATATACCTTTTAAATTCTTTAATGCACATCCAGCCGTTAAATTCTGTAAGGTATGTGATACATTGCCGTACTCTAAAACTTAAGCAGCCTTTGGAATTAATCACTACTACTAGAGAAAATTATGGTCCATATACTATATATACTACATCAATAAATAGATTTACTTGACTACATGAACAAAAAGATGTGAAGCATGTGGTGAATGTGAACAAGGAAGCGGCCGTGCTGCAAGAGCATGGACGGAGGGAGGTAAGGCCCAATGGGGGCACATGTCCCCTCTCATCCCATTTTTTCTGCATTACAAATTATTCGATTAATCATTTCCATCTTTTTTGGTATGCAGATTATTCAATTAATCATATTAAAATAGTGAAAATCCTCTTTTAGTTTTTAAATGCGCCTCCCTCCTGAATATTTTTCTCACGCATTAATGTCTAAATCTTGTTGAGTTGCATGTATTTGGTTAATTAGTACAAATGAGCATTAGATTGTCAATAATTAAAGACAAAATTAGACAATAGAGTAATAAAATTAGGCATTTTGAAATTAATTTTTTCAGCATTTGTAAAAGAACTAGTTTTATTTGTCCAAAAAAGCAGCTCAAATATTTTAAGGTGGGCTCTTAGTTAAATTTCTGGCTTCGTCCCTGTGCAAGAGCATGCCCTTGTACTCTGGCATCAAAGCTTGCCAGCTTATTAGTTGTCTCAGCTTGAAACCTTGTCCCTGCCATGTATGATTCTGCCCGGTGACGCATGATCTGTGGTTCGAAATTGTTCTTCTCGTGTTGATATGTACTTCTGTGTGCATCTCCTGCAACTTTCACAGATTTATGGCTCTTACAACCCAACAGTGCCCCGGAGTGGTGCCTCAGAATTTCCTTGCTCATTCTTGCTTTGGCATTTGTAGAATTCGGAGCCATTTTCGCTGGTCTCTGGTGATCTTCGAAGTCGGACATCATGGACATGTCAGCAACGCTGGCGGTGACCACACTCCACTCTATGCTCGCCTCACTCGGCGCATAACAATTCGTTGGCGTCGCAGAGCCAGCATCTGATGCTTGCCGCGCAAGAAAAGGGTTTGCTTTGCCGGTGAGGCTCTCGATCTCGAAAAGATCCGAACTTGCATCACTATCCGACTCATTGTTGTAGATTACACCACCAGAATTTGCCGGAAACTCATCCCGCGGCAGCATTGTAAGTTTTTTTCCAAGGGCGAAAGACTTATTTCGCTTCACAAACACAGGGGAGCCGAACACCTCCAGAGACTTCCTCACTTTCTCTGCTTCCTCTTCTGCTTGTTGAAAGGGAAGCATCTTCGGCGGCAAACTCCCCGCCCCGGATTTTAAAGTTGGGAAAGTAAAACAGTTCTCTCTTCCCAACTCAACTCCTAACTTTTCGAGCTTTTCGTTTTTTTTCATATCAACTACAACTTCATCAACAATCTCTGCCACACCAGGAGGTTTATGATTAATTGGTGTTGTCGTGCAGCTTGTGTTTGCACCATTGTCGTTCTTCTTGAAGCTGATCTCGCCGACGTGTTCATCCACATCAACCGAATTCTTATCTGAACACGAACATTTGCAGCCAAGGCTGGCAAAGAAGTTCTTCCTCTGTTTGTTTCCCGTAGTTGTGTTTGTCCGGTAAGGATTTCTCGACGCGCTTCGAAGCAAGTTGCTTTGGCTGTTCCAGCTCGATTCAGAACGCACACTCGGAGTCCCCGGCTGAACCCTTATCTTCATGTGATCCATACTTACTGGTTTATCCTTGTTATGATGGTACTTATTTGTGCTGCTGCAGCCGCTTTTCGGGCTTGTGACGCTTGTCTCCTCATCTATTACTCCATTGAAGTATTTTTCAGCTCTGAACACTCCAATTTCTTCGTCGTCAGCTGCTTCCTTTTCTGCTCCCAAGTGAATGTTATTGTTATGCTGCTGCTCCTTGCTCGCCTGATCGGCGAGTTTATGCACGACGGCTTCCTCATTGCCGCTGAAGTATGAAGAAAATGAAGCATCATGGTTGGCGGCGGCGTTCTCGAATGGAAAAGTTTGCGAGAGGTTCGCCTTACTAGTTGATTTTGAGGTAACAATGGCCATAGAGAAGAGAACTCAAAATTCTCCAAGAAACTTTTTTGAGACAAGTAATGTTGGTGGAGCGGAGTTGAATCGAATCCTGGAACTCGAGTGAAGGGTTGAATTCTCGAACAAACTCTATGTAACAAAAAGTAGAGAAAACGAATTGGTTTCCAAAGGCTAGGGAGAAAACACATAAAACTACAAAAAGAAAAAAAAAAGAAAAAAAAATCAGAAGTTTGAAAATTTGAAACCGAAGAGAAGATGGATCAGATTGAAAGAGGAATTGAATTGACGAGGAGGGTTTTTGTTGAATATTTTAGAGGCTTAGAGAAGATTAGGCTGGTGAGAGAGCTAGTTGAGAAGTATGGTTGTATATGTAGAGGCATAGGCTTATCATGGAACATGAAAAGTTGTACATTCAGAGGGTAGGGACATATTTGCTTGTTTGCCTAATTTGACAGTTTGCCATTTTTTCACGTGAGGAAAAAATCATTGGTTTTCAGGTTACCATTATATGTAATAGGAAAATGTTGGGGGATCGTATTTTTATATTATGTGTATTATTTGATGTGATAACTGATATGTACATGTCACGTCAATTAATAAATTTATCTTATCGGATATTAACTGTATGCATCATTTATTATGTGATATAGCACACAAATGTAGTATAAATATGTGATCTTCCTAGCATTACTCTGTATAATATATAAACTCGACATATAAATTTCCAAGAAATCTGCCAAATGTATACGTTAAATGTTTGGTTCGCTTTCCATATTTGCGGCTGTCATATAACATGGTGCTTATTTGAACATTTTGGACGCCTACAAATATAACAAGCTCACACCAACTTGTTGGGTTCCAATAATACCAAAGAAAATTTTCAACTTCTGGTTCTTTCTTAAAGAAGATATGACTAACAACAGACCTAGAGCTGCCCTCTGTATGTACATACAAAAAATTTCGGTAGGATAACCCGATCACGTGATTGGTTAGGCATTCTTAGAAGTAGGATTCTGGATATTATACAATCACGTGGTCATACTATCCTATTGAATCTTTTTACCTATACATAACATATACATGACTTTGGATGCATGATTAATTTTCTTAAAATAAGTTATGACCACTGTTCTAAAAATTTCTACCAAGGCACTAGGCGGCTGACCGCCTCCCTAATTAATCCCTAAGCGTTTGAAACTCTATGAGAAAATGGTAATCCAAGTCGGAAGTCCTCAACAGGCAACGGTCCTCACCTCATCACTAAATATAGATTCTACGGTTAGCGAATCAAGTCATTTTAGAACGACTCTGGTGAATAAAATGCGATTTCAGTCTTCTTGAGTTATCTTCTTTTGAAATTGAGCACAAAACTTCGGACACATAGACAAATAATCTCGACTTCTCGAGCTACAAACCTCTAAGTCGTTCCTTTAAATTTCTAGAGAATATGAAGTGTATGTGAACAATAATAATTTGTATTTGATCTGTCATACAAGTAAAGCCATTTAAAGAAAGAAATAGCACCCATCCTCCTCTGTTAATACAAAGACACACAGAATTTGTCGTCTCAGTATCCACAGGTTGCGGTGTCTTGTGAAGTCGGAACACCATTGATCTGTCAATATTTTTTTTTTCTTCTTCAGATCAGTAGAAAAATTATCATCAATAATTGATGAAACACAATGAAAAGAGACTCTTTGTAACGTGTTACCGTGCCGGTATGACAGTGATTGGGGAGGCCGAAGAGCTTTTAAACTTTTATCATAAGACTTTCATATCCAATGTGAGATGAAGCTGACCGGACAAAAATTTCACTTTATGAAATTAAGGGCGGTGAGGATATGAATATTACACGCGGACTTGAATTCATTTCTAAACCAAAAAAGCTAATTCCATCCCATCGCAATAAATTCCAATTGTTGTTGGTTTTTGCCTTCTCAACACCAGTCGGCCAGATTTAGGCAGTTCACATGTCGATTGTACGAGCCATAGAAGCGAAAATAATAAAGTGGTAAAAATGGAAAGGAAACCTTAAAAACCAGAGAATATCGATGTTTCGAGAGGAAATTGAATGAGTAAAAGGATAAACACATTAAGCTGCAGGCTGCAAGTGCAAATCATACATCTGAAATTCGACAGTCAACTAAGGAAGCTAGTGTTTGATCGAATTTTGGCCTCTGCGGCGTACAGATTTAACAAAAAAGGGGTTCTGTAAAATGAATGATACTCTAAACATACAAGCATATTACCTCTGTAGCTTTGTCTACTTATAAAATGCTACAAAGGAACGTGGTGGAAGATAGTTAGCAAACATAGATTGTGTAAGCCCTCCTCCGTATGAAGTACTCAGTACTCGGGCAGCAAAAGTGCTCACCGGAAAAATACACATCCCTGTCAGGACTTGTAACAGAGAACATTGCCAGCTTAGATCCACGATATCAGAAGCTGTCCTTTAAGGCGTTCATTGTGTGTCGGTGGAGTTTCCAACCCAGTACTGCTTGACAACAACCAATACCTTCTCTGGTACAAGGGGACCATCCTCATGGTCCACCATTTTAGTATCCCATCTCATTCCTCCAACTATTTTCTTCACCTTAATTAATACATCAACTTCATCGCGGAATATGACCGCACCTTCTGGCCGCAAAATCCTGTCCATCTCAAGAAGAATGTCTTCCCAATTGCATCTGCAATATAGTCAATACAGCTTAATCAGTCACAGAAAAGCTGAAGGAAAGCATAAGCAAAACAGTGAATTGGTCTTGGCATAAGAAACAATCTGGAATTGAAGTGGTTAGTTCTACCTCTACTATTGCAAGCATGGAATCCCCGTCAGTACTTAAACAATTACCCCTGATTGGATCTACATATACTATCCCTCATTAAGATGATTCCGCAACACTACAGTCAGATTCTTATTATGACAAGTTAATAAATAGTTGGTGTTACAAGTGCATATACCGTCATAACCAAAAGAATCACCTCACCCTCAACTAAATGGCTTCGTGTACCATCTTTTATAAGCGAAGTGCTCAGGGAAATTACTGTTGGACCGTAAAAGAACTTCATAAAAAGTCTACCGTATTAACCAATCTTAATCGTTCTACTTGAAAAAATAAGGCAGGCCAATCCAATAAGCTTCAAGAACAATATTCGACCGAGAAAAAGCATAATGGGTGGATAGCCAAGATTGAGTGAAGCTAAACAAGTCCACAATGTCGGGTTGACCTAAATGAGCTTAACATTATCAAGGTCAATCCATCCTTACTGGAACCGGCCATAGAATCAAGCTTAACACAGTTTTCTATGTACTGAGCCCAAGTAACTTAGGGAATATCTAATTAGGTATTACACCAAATAAGCCAAGGCTTTCTTTGTTGGAGTAAAAAGCACTAAAGAAAGCCAAAAACTAATGAAGATATACTTACTTTCCATTGTACAAACTGAAAACACCATGGGCGTGAATGAGGTCATATGTCCTTGGGTAAGTAGAGAAACCTTCGCACCTGATATAGCATCACCAAAAAAGAATAAAATGATTGATAAACAAACAAAATTAATGGAAGGAGAGATCTGCTCCAGGACCTCACAATTATTTAACACATCACAGGAACTTTTCTTTTTCATGAAAAAAAGATGGGTATATATTCTAAAACCTTTTTGGAAAAAGCCATACGCACGCTGTAAAATACGCAACACGCACTTCTATTGACATGGTTTAAGTTCTAACACAAATGTTCAGCTGCCAGAAGACATTTTTAGCAGGAAAGGATATAAGATTTATCTTGAAAGCAGAGTCTAGGTCCCTAGGAAGCGTGTAATATACTTGAATGGTTATATAGGAATGTCAACAGAATTTGCTAAAAAGGATGCTTTAGAGGAAAACAATTAGACAGGGGAGGGAAGTTCAGAGTAGGGTACCAGTCATGGTAGATGCCAATCAATCCTCGCTCATATACAACACCCAGCGTATTTTTCTCAGCTATTGTGGGCACCACATTCATGACCCACAATTTTGGAGATTCAATTGCTGCAGCAAAACCACCCAAACCAGCATTCATATCCATAATGTTGCGATACCTTCCTGTGTCAATTAGTTTATTGATTCTCCTATAAGCATTTACATGCTTCTTCCATTTTTTGTTATCCTCCTCATAATCCTCAGCAGAAACTCCGGGAACAGACCCACTAGAAATCCTGGGGGGAACAGCATAAAGCCTTTTTGGAAATGGCTTCAACTCCCCACTGGAAACTTCAGGATATGGTGTTATGCATCCCTCCATTTTCTTATACCTGATAACAACCAAAATGAAGAAAAAATAAGAAAAGATATATCTATGTTAACAGCATAAGCTGATAAGCAAAAGCACAAACATGAGATTTAATTATAACCCATCTAGACCTCAGGACCCCTTTTAACTAAAAATAATTCTGCAAGGCTTTTCATTACAGATGACAACAAACCCTGTCTGCTAAAAACTTTAAGGTAACAACGTTTGAACACCATTAGCATTCATTTAAAGTAGTTGCCCCATATTTTCTATCATCCTCCTATACATGCTGGCATTTAAAAGTTGAGAACACAAATTGGATACATGTAAAGTTATAAGGGAAGACCAAAAAAAGAATCAATGTCTTCTTGTCAATTGATAACTGCACGAAGGCCTCCCAATATTAAAAACAATGAGAATGGTAAACAAAATTTAAGCACAGGAAAATACCAGACGCTATCTGCTTCATCAGCTTTGCAAAAGTTAGCACGGGAAGCATCTTGTCTGTCTCCACATGAATCAGAATCCACCCTCTTTTGCCAAATGGCAGTTTCACCCTTCTCAGACTTTTTCTCCCAGCAAAGAAGTTTAGCAGCTTCTTCAATCTGTCTCTGTTCCTCCTCAAGATCCTCCTTGGGACGCTGCCATGAAATGTAATTATTCTTCCAATTAATTGGAGGACCCGAAAGCACCCAATAACCCCCAGGCCTAAGAACTCGGTCAACTTCCTTGAGATATTTTCCA